CATTTCTGGGGGCATTGCATCCAGCAACTGTGTATAAAATGTCTCCAGGTCACCATATTGCATTGAATTTGTTTTGACAGATTTAGAACATTACAGTACAGTAAATTATGAAATGGCTTGTGTGGCAATAATATGTTATGATAATTTGTTTAAAGGTTTTTTCATTTTAATTTTTTTTTAAAGTGGAGTTACTCTTGGTGGCAGCAGGCCCATTCAAACAGCCACTGATTACAATTGTAAAGCCGGCATTAAAATGAAAGGGATTCTGGTGGCTCAGCTGCTGTCAGATCACTTCCACGGGCTGGTAAAGTCCCCACTCGGCACCCCCACTGTGTTTCCCGGGCTCCGCTGCCCCTCCTGTGGGCCCGGGGCTGGCATGTCGTTCACCAGCGGGAAGCTGGTGAGGAAAGCAGTGCACTTCCATTCACCAATCTCCTCCCTGTTCTAGGGGACCGGGAGCAACGTGAACTTTTTGGGGTACTGGATTTTGTCGCCGTTTCTCCAACGCACGCAATTTTTAACCTGGGCATGTTGGATATCTATTTACTTGTTGTAACCTCATCTTTTATATTTTAACAAAAGCATTGGTATTATGTTGCGTTAACACCGTGCAAGATAAATTTGCAACTGCCACTATTTTATTCTACATTCTACATTCTTTCAGAAAATATATCATGTTTGGGGGTTTTAAGTAGTTTTCACACCCAAAATGTGGATTATATAATGTGTGCAAAAAAAAAGCCTTGGCAGCAAAAGTCAACCTGAAAATCAATAATCAATTCAGGACTCAGGAATAATTATCTGCATTGTCCAAGCTCAGAGCCGTGCTGATATCTCAGACTTACAAAAAAATGTTTTTGTATGTAGCTTTTTGTTACTAGCATGAGAAACGTTTTAGTAGGGTTTGGTGTCAAGTATTTCCTATTGTTTATGATGATGTAGCTTTCTGCCAAAGGTTCAGAAATGTTATTAAATGGCCAAAAACCTGTGATTTTCCACTTCTTATTCCTTGGCAATTATTGCAGGACATCAGTTTAAAAAATGTGAAAGTGATTTCTGTCCTGTAATTACTTTACAACAGTATCCTCTTGCTTCCTGCATGACTAATTTGCTTTAACACATTTGCAGAGACAGTAGAGGACAGTAGCCAATATATACAGTACATGTGTGACTTATCTCACCAGTCCTTCCGTTTCTGCTAACATAAATCAACCCATGTGACAATCATTTGGCTTAAACTAAAGGTCCCCATACACCTTGCGATTATCGTACGATAATCGCGGTAAATCCCGCAATCGTACGATAATCGACAGGTATATGGAAGGCGTGCGACTGTTTCTACTGTACGGTCGCACGTCTTTTGTCGAACGAGCATGCTATAAAACCCGCCGGGAATCGTACGATTGTCAGCGGGTTAGTGGCGTGCTCGTTTGACAAATGCGGAAGGGGCGTACATTGCCCGTTCAGCATTACGGTCATCGGAAACCCGCCCCTCAGCGGTGCGGGTTTGCAATAATCGCAAGTACGATCTGCCTGTCCAAGATGGGCAGATCGTACAAGCTTTTAATTAGCTTACAACCATCGCAAGACAAAAGTCTTGTGATGGTTGTAAGGTGTATGGGCACCTTAAGATTGCCAGCAGTATTACTGTTGGGACTAGTAGTTTCTTAATTAGTGAAAACGCGGTTTGTTTCAGCATGTGCTTTCCAAATTGATTCCTGAATGGGAGGGTCTATGTTCATTATATACAGATGGTGGACTTCCTGTGTTGTAATAGGGAAAGGTGCAGTGTCGACATCCCTTTAGTAGTAATTAACCCTTAGGGAGTATCTCACCAAAAATGAAATTCCTATTGCGAGGGATGCCAAAAAATACACTTGCATCTTAGTGTAGACTTCTGGGAAAATCAGTCAGCCAATCGCAGAAGCAGGAAGTGACGTTTCTGGGGGAGTTCCATACAGTAACTGTGTATGCAATGTCACCAGATCACCATATTGCAGTTCATTTTTTAGACAGATTTGGAACATTACAGTAGTTACAGTTTTAAATGGAGAGGTAATTTTTAATAAAATTAAATTACAAAAATAGCTTGCACAACAATTATATATGCTAAATTATTTTTTTAAAGATTTTTCATTTTTATTTTTTTTAAAGTGGAGTTACCCTTTTAAGTTGCTAACAGTGATTAAATGCAGGCATCCATACCTGCAGCATCTTTCATGTCTGCTTCACCTAAAAGCTAGTCAGGTCTGATCAGCTGACACACAACTAAACCTGATGCACAGGGACGGACCTAAAGTTGGTGGAGCTGGTGCAGATGCACCAGAGCCCAAGGCTGATAGGGGCCCAGTGAGATCCAGTCCCGGGGGGCCCCCCCTTTAGACTGGCCCCTTAACATTTCAAGTAGATTCAGCTGCCGTAAGGTCCCGTGCTAGCTGGGGACCTTGCATCAGCCTTTCATGGAACCACTGTAGTGCCGGTGTACTGTGCCAGGACAGCACCCCAGAGCATAGAGTACAAAGAAAATTAATATACTATTCTGCATTGCTGTATAATGTATTGCTCGGATTTGTAGTGCTCTTTAGCTGGTGATATTATTCTGCATTGCTGTATAATGTATTCCTGGGATTTGCAGTCCTTTATAGCCAGTGCCATTCTGCATTGCTATATAATGTATTGCTGGGATTTGTAATCCCTCTACAGCTGGCAGAATTACCAGGGTCATAGCAGTTGCAGCTGCGACTGGGCCCAGGCACTCCACCACTGTCCTACAATCATTAGTCTGTATTGTTTAAGAAACAAACTGTCACATGACACTAAAAATCTGTAATTGGTATTGATGAGTACTTGTGGAAAAGTATTGGTACTTGTACTCGGTCTGGAAAAAATAGTATTGGTGCATCCCTAATATAAATGTATAATAATAGTGTGTTACTGTGGAGGGATATTAGAGTGTAAGCCCCTCTAGTGCAGAAACTTGTGACTGGTTCAGTGTTTTCTGTACTGCACTGTGGTATTTGTCAGAGCTATAGCAATGTATAATAATAAGTGTGTGACTGTGGGGGGACATTAGAGCATAAGCTCCTTTTGGTGCAGAGACCAGGGTTGGACCAAGGCTGAGTGGAACCCCAGTGATATCCTGTCCCGGGCCCCCTACCTTGGAGGAGACATGGTCACAAGGGCTGATGGGCTTCTGACGTTGGGGGGGGGCAAGAAAAAATATGGCACCTGGGCCCTTTGTGCCTTAGGTCCACCACTGCTGATGCATTACTGTTTACCCATCATTATAAAGCACTTCTTTCCTGGTCAGAAAGCATGTGCGGGAGGCGGGAGGGCGGGTAAGCTTTAGTTCTGTGACTCATCAGACCAGGCAAAGCAGAAGGTACTGCAAGCTTCTCCACATAGACATACACTCTACAGACCAGACTAATGCTTTTTTACACTCACACTTACTGCACATCTGCACTTTAAAGAACGGACAATACACTGCTGGTCATCACTTTATTTCACTCACCCCGTATTGCTGCTGTTTGCACTCGCACACTTTAAACTTTACACATCGATACACTTATATAGTTGGTTTGTAAGCATTTCACTGCATATCATACTGTGTACGATTATGTATGTGACTAATAAAAAAAATAAGAATCTGAAACTAAATCTCATTGTTAGGATTTACATCTACTTTATTCCTAACTTGTAAATGTGGGCTCACTGGTTATAGTACATATGGGTGGCCCATGTTTAAAAATGTATCAATGAATGAAGAGGAGTGAACTGTCAGTTTGTATCTCCGTTCCCACTGAACACAGAAGCATGGGATACAAAGCAACATACACAGTAGGAGTTAGGGGACTAAGCTGTGAAAAAATACATAGTGAGACTTTTTTTTTTTATTGAAGCAGTGTAAGAACTTGAATTTGAACTGGTATCTGCCTCTTGCAATCTCTGTATAGCAGAGCTGGAGTGTAAAGCTGGCCACACACTTATAGATTATCTGCAGATTTTCTATAGTCAGATGGTAAAAGTGCAACAGATCTATGCTCCATCTATGCTAAACAGTTTGGATGCAGGAATCTCCCACTGGGTCAAGCTTCAGTATCTTGTTACTCGGCCCTGCTGGCTCTCAAAACACCTGAACAATCTGATTGGATGCAGGCATTGTTCAGATATTTTGACAGCCAGCAGGGCCGACTAGCAAGATACTGCAGAAAAATCAATTCTGGGTCAGAAATAATGATCTGCAGTGTCCAGGCAAAGAGCGGTGCTGATATCTCAGACTTACATATTTTATGTAGCTTCCTGTTAATGGCATGAGAAACTTTAGTAGGGTTTAGAGTCAAAAAAAGTATTTCCCATTGTATATGATGATGTAGCTTTCTGCCAAATGGTCGTAAACTTGTGATTTTTCACTGCTCATTTCTTGGCAATGACTAGAGTACACCAGTTAAAAAAATTTAAAGTGTTTTCTGTCATGTAACAACTTTACAACAGTATCCTCTTGCTTCCTGTATGACTAATTTGCTTTAACATATTTGCAGAGACAGTATTGGACAGTAGCCAATTCATACATGTGTGTCTTTATCTCACCAGTTTCAGGTATTTTTTTTACATACTGTACCTACTTTTGAAATGTTAAAGAAACATGCAATACTCCTTCTGTTTCTGCTAAAATAAAATGAACCCACATAACAATACTTAAGCTTAAACTAAGATTGCCAGCAGAGTAACTGCTAGGACTTTCTTAATGAATGAGTAATCTAACAGAATTCAGGATTAGGGGGTAAAGTACGGTACATGGTTTATGAACTTTTGTATTTTTATATTTCACTATGTAAGTACACTATTAATATTACAATTAACTAATATATACATATGGGACTCTTATCACTGATATCGTTGAACAGTAAAGTTTCTTACAAAGCTGGCTGAGAGATCTTGGTAAGATGACAACAAAATATGTAATACTGTATTAAAACATAAGCAAGAAGTGTCCTTACCTTGTTACTGTTTGATATGGTTCAGCAGTTTGCAGCTCCTGTGACAGTTGAGGTATTTTTATGGCTGTGTGACTTCATAAGAGTGCTGCCTGAAAATAAATATCTACAGTGTACCCTCGCATCTTGTCTTCTCTGGGAGGCGTGAAACAGCTCAGACTTTGTATGTACATGTCTGGGACTGTATATTTAAATGAGCCATACCACAACCCTGCCCCACCAAACTAATTCAGAAAACTATTGCTGAAATCATTTGTGTCTCATATAGGGCTACATGATGCACACAATGCTGGAAGCTTAGGAAGACGAGAGGCAAAGGGACTAACCAGAAGAATTGAATATTCTTCATTTAAGGTCAGTGACTTATTTTTCTTTTTTTTACTCTGCTGGAATGTGGAACTGCTTCATACTGCAAATTTAAAACATTTCTGCAGTTTAGGATACAAATTTAATTGTTTAAAAACTTGCTATTGCTCTTACGTGTTGCAAAGACCATGCTGTTTATTTAAATAATGGTGGCAACATACATTAAAAGAATAATTCACACCATCCAGGATTTGACCCAAATTGGACTTCCTCAGTAGGGATATCTGCATATTTTTGGAGATTAGGTTTGAAAATCGTTTCTTTTGCCTGTCTGCTTGTCCTGACCCAGAGCCAGTCAGATGTTGCTGTCACCAGACACAATCCTAGGGAAATTTTTCCTGGCTTAGAGAATGAAGTGAAGTTCTGCTGACTTCCATCATGCAATCATATGCAAGCAAAAATACTGTTTTTGTTATTTTCCTTGCATGTGATTGGATATTTTTTGCAAGTGAGTTTTTAACATATTCACTAAGGCACGAGAAGATTCCATTGCAAAGCAACATTTAGCTGCAAAGTAAACAGCCTGTTAGCCTTTCTCTCAGTGCTGCTCAGTGATATATTTAGACATTCCCTACCAGCTTTTCATAATTATCATCAGACCCAGGGTTTTTGTAACACTGCTCTCCACACTGAGGCAAGCATCAGGATCTGAGGGTTTGTTAGTGAATGATTACTGAAGGTATAAGGACAGTTAGGAAACTAGGCTAGTTTGCAATTATTTTGATTTTTATACAGGATTCATATAGCACCAACAGTTTGTGCAGCGCTTTACAATATAAGAAAGGCATTTCAGTTGCAATACAATTCAAAAAAAGATGGTCAGGAGGGCCTTGCCCTTGAGAGCTTTCAATTTAAAAGAGTCCTGCATGCTACAATAACCCAGTGTACTGTACAAATGAGCATCTTCCATGCCCTTAAAAATGTGTCCTTAATGAATTTTGATCCCAACGTATCAACAATATTTAAATACATTGGGGTCTATTCACTAAGCTGCCAAAGGATCTAGCCGTAGCTTTGGCTAGCTTTGGCCCCAGGACCCCTTCGGTTCAGTAGAACCAAGGGCTGCTGTAGGGGCTATTCACTATAGCCCGTACAGCTCCCGAAGTCGGCCGAGCCTCTCAGTCGAGCTGAAGGCATATGCATCAGCTGAACTGAGCCGAGGTGAAAGGCGATCGCTTCTATTGGGTCCCGGTATGTGCGCCCCCTTCGCGGCTCCCCCCTCCCGCTGTCACGCTGATCCCGGGCGGATCGCTTGTATGGGGTCCCGGTATGTGCGCACCCCCCTCCGCAGCTCCCCCCCTCCCGCTGTCATGGTGCGAGCCTGGGACCAGCATAGTGGCTCTCTGACAGGGGATTAGAGGGAGGTCGGTTCAGGATCTCCCTCTGGTCCCCTCTCTGATGTCAGAATGCGGAAGTGGTGTATATCACATCACTTCCGCATTCCCGTGTCACTCTCCAGCTTCAGATGCTGGAGAGAAGATGATGAAGCAGATCTCTGGTCTCTATAAAGGTCTCTATAAAGAGGACCTGTCACTTCTTTTGCTATCACATATAGGGGTTTCTTACCCCCCTCCGTGATAGCAATAAAGTTAAGTGAAAAAAAACAATTTTTAAGCTTGACATGTTTGGTGTCTATTTACCTGACGTGACCCCATCTTTTATATTTTACCAAAAAACTGGGTAATAATAAATGTTTACTAACATCATGTAAAAAAAAAATTTTCAGTAATTTCTCCTGAATATAGTAAAAAATAAACCCCCCAGTGGTGATTAAATACCACCAAAAGAAAGCTCTATCTGTCCCCCAAAAATGGTATAAAATTCATTTCAGTACAGTGTTGCATGACAGAATAAATGTCAGTCAAAGTACCGCAGCGCTGAATACTGAAAAATGGCCCCGCCAGGAAGGGGGTCTAAACACCTGGTCTTCAAGCGGTTAAACGAACAATAATGTGTATAGCAAATCAAAGTGTTTCATGAAGGTTTAAAATTTTCTGTCTTGTTACAAAATACATGTGACTGTGAATCAAACTGTCTCTCTGCCCGAGTCTGTCTGTCTGGATGTTAACCCCAATTTAAGTTTTTTGTGTGCAGCTTTATCAAAAGTCTGCGCAAATAATAATGACACTTTTGAACTGGTGACAAGACTTAATTAATGCGCCTGACCTGTGTTTAAGGAGTGTGTATACAGAGCCGTTATTACTATTATTATATTTTCTGGGTTTAGCGGCTTCATGAGTGAAATGTAACAGATTTGTAATTCCACGGTAATAGCATGCATGGACAACACGACCGCTGCAGCCATTGCATTCTGACAGCGACACCTGCCTTGGTCAGAATACATAAACAGTGCTTGCAGTTTATTGTCTGAGAGCACTGTTTGTTGATAATTTCCAGGCCAGCTTCTTTGATAAAATTCAGTTGCATAGTTGTCTTTGTTGTGGCCGAAGGAATAACCACTGTTTTGGCCTATTCCTGTGAAATGGTTGACTTGGCCACCTTTTAATTGCCATTCCACATCATAAAAACTAAACAGGACATCTAATAGAAACACAGAAAATATTAATGTGATTATTAGTTATTGTTGTATACATATTTTTTCTTTTTTATGTGTTAATTTGTAGGAAATGGTTAACATTTGATTAAATGTAAATAACATGCTAAATTTTAGAAAAGGTTTGTAGAACAACTTTGCTTTGTATTTCTCTTATGCACTCAAGTTTCAAGCTCTGCACTGCATTGAATCAACTCGGCAATCAACATGTGCGCTGTGAGGCTATTAAAGGTGTTTTTTGTTGTACATGGGGGAAAAAAATTACAAAATATCACTACAGTGTCCACCCATAAAGGCCCTTTAATGCCCCTATCCATGTGCCTCTTCACAAACCTGTACTTGAATCCTCCTGCAGACATGTGTCCTCCTTTTACTATAACAAAAATCTCAGTGACATACATTCAACTATCATGGGCATCCTGCTTTTTTTCCTGCCTCCACCTGCATGAGCCATATCCCTGGTTCTGCCCCCGGCTCCTCACACCAAGTGCATGCTAACCCACACCAACCGGGTTTGATACTATGGTCAGTCAGTGTGATTGCTGTCCTATGAACTGCAGCCATGTATAGCATTGCCCTGTAAACTACAACTATGTGATTGCCACCCTTGGAACCACTTCCATGTGAAGTGTTGATTTGTAACTCACTACACTGTGATTGCTGCCCTATGAACCACTGTCTCGTGCACCTCTATCCTGTAAACTGTTTCCCTGTGGAAAACATGAAAATATTAGGCAGTAATTAACATGCAATTCAATACAATGGCGCATCCACTTTTGTTTTAATGTTTTGTAGATCTTGTACAGCTGACCCTCCTTTTTGTCTTTCAAATCTGACCACCTTTTGTGGAGTTGGTCCTTGGACCTTTCAACATTATAGCGATGATACGGTTTATGCACCACCTTCCCCATAATCCTGTCGTTTTGGGTACTGGGTCTTGCATAATTTGCAAGTTTGCAATCGTAATCTTTGTCATACAGAATCTGGACCACGTCCATCATCTCAGAGGCTTTTGTCTTGATCTTGTGGCCTCCTCTGCCAGTGTCTCCTAACTGCTTCACAGACGTCTTTGTCTGAATGTTTATAGCATCTGGATGACCCCAGGGCGCAGAGACCTAACATGTCTTCTCAAAACATGCTGAAATGGATATCCTGAATGCACCACACAAATGTTATGCATTTTAAAGTGTGACCTTCTATACATAGTTTACATAGTATTTGAGGTTGAATAAAGACATAAGTCCATCAAGTCCAACCTGGTGTGTGTGTGTGTATAGGTCCATGAGTGTTCTCATTCTTAAGAGTACCTGTACCCTTGTACATTTCGGTCTCTCAGGAAGTCGTCCAAAAGCCTCTTGAATGATTCCAGATTAATTGCGGAAATTACCGCTTGAGGCAGTGAGTTCCAGACCCTAACCGCGTGTTCCAGATCTCTACTTACCACCTCGTAAAAAGTCAGTAGGTTAGTCTGACAGGAACGGTCCTTCCTAAACCCATGCTGGTTGTCATTTATTTTGTCATTTTCCCGCACGAATTCTACTAAGTGGTCCTTAATTATTCCCTCTAACAGTTTACAAACTACCGATGTAAGACTAACTGGTCGGTAATTCCCAGGAGAGAGAGAGAGAGAGAGAACACCAATACATGTTCCTGTGAACAGTTCCCACTATTTTTTATCAATCATATTGTAAATATGTAAATGCAAAGCTCTTCTAATAAAGAACCTGCAAGGTTGAATGTTGGTGGAGGTGAGTTCCTGCTGTTTGAACCATTGGACTCTCCTCTGAGGCTGCTGACCTAATGTAATGCTACACTGTATATACTTATAAGATCACAGAAATGTCCAAGCAAGGGAAAACAAAAAAGTACACATTGCCCATGACTGCATCCCATAAAAGCCTTATGGGTAATATATTTCTTTGAGGCAACTGTACAACTCAGATACAAACATTGTTTCTTCTGTGTCTTTTGAGTAATAAGGTGTACACATTATCTCTAAATGTTTGCTCTCCTAATCGTGCTAGTGTATTCAAAATAAAATGAATTCTACAGCCAAGCTCATGTGTAAAAACGCTAGAAAACAGTGATCAGGTGCATAAGGCAACAGCACATAGATTGTAATTATCATCTCTCTATTGAAGGGTCAATCTACCAACACTAATATTTTAGTTCATAGTAGATGCTGAATAATTACAGCAGATTAATTTCCACATCTGCATAATATTCAATAGCTAGAGACATATTCAATAAAGAATTCTGGTAGTGATATGTTTATGGCTGAACTCCAAAGCCTGCATATCTGCCATGTCAACTATCAGGGGACCTACTCTGCCTATTGGACTTTTTAGTACGGGATACTGTAACAGGAGGAATAGGAAACATCTGTGTTTATGACTTCAAGATGGGTGGAAATCAGCTAGAAACTGTGACAGGATGATTTTACTGGTTTAGTCTCCAAGGGATATAAAACATCAGAGTGGGACCAGCATTCTCCCCTTATACATGTTATTACTACTTCTACATGCTTTTATGTTTTTTTTTGTAAACAAAAGTCATAGAGAAGTACATGGGAATACTTACAAGTACCCATGATTCCCCTTTAACCACTGTAAAAAATATCAAAAGAAGTATTCTGTTATTTTTAAAAAATAAAAGCGTTTAAAAAAGGCTTTTTTTTATTTCTGAAATATTTTAAGGCTTCCAGAACAGTCAGGTTAATGACTGAAGCCATTGGATTAGCTGGGACTAGGGAAGGAAGCCATACAGCTTTTCACTACTGTTTATGCAGAAGAATGGGCTCCTTTGTCTATACTCTTATGGAAGATTTTCCCTTTAGTGTATCTTTTTTTTAATTATTATTATTATTGCTATGCTAGTAAAATTTATGTAAGAATGACCTGCATGGAATAGGATGGGGAGAGTGTGATAAGAGAACATTCTATGTTTGTAGAATATATAATACCTTGTGATTTGCTTAGTTGAATGCTACGTGTATGCTCACACTTTTAATTTCACTGACCCCTGGGCTCTTTTGAGTGGGTTGGGGATGCCTCATTGACACCCTCTATAAGGCCCACAAACAGCTGCTGCACTAGGCAGCTGGAGTTCTGTATTTTCCATTGAATTTTGCATGAATAGTGAGTCATCGTTGATGGACAGTGACTCTGATACATCACATAAACTTGGAACTCTATCAGAACCCAAAGCCCAGGAAAACTTAAGTACTTTTATTATCATTAATTTTACTATAGTGCCACCTTCACAGTGTCTGCTATGCAATGGAAAAACTGAGAAGAAAGAAAATTTCTAAGATTTAAAAAATGTTATCAAGTAATGGACTTCATTAAATTTTTGTTCTACTGTATACTTTTTGTTTTTCCGTTTATTTTGTACATGTTGGCATTACCTGCTGCTAGAAATTAGTACTCATTGTACAGACTATCTGCTGCCAAGGATAAGAGTATGGTTCTGGAGTCTCACTGTCAATCCTCTAAGTAAATGGACAGTACTTGAGGGTATTTAGATGATGCTTGGTGAACATAAGTATTTATTTCTGGGGCACAGTGCTGCTATGTTTCTCTGACGTCTCTGATAAAGACCTGAAGATAATAAGGAATAGTACTGATAGTTGGGTGACAATGCTTGGCCATTATTACAATCCATGATTTCAAAATTAAACAAATAATCTATTTGGATATTATATACAATGAGAAAAGTATTTGATAGCACATTTTTAATTTACTAGCTCTTAAGTAATGTGTAACCAATATAGCAAGCATCCTAACAATTACACCACTAAATCAGGAACACAACAAAGTCCCTTGTACTTTATATGCCTGGCAGTTCCCCCACTACCATTCCTCTAAATGTATTTTGGCTTCTACACAACAAATACTTTTGTAAGTGCATTCATTTTATTCACCATTTCACGATAAAGTTTTTTGAATCACTACACTATGCCAGTGTGCTTCTGTGCTCTTATTTTCTAGTTCATACTAGTGCTTTCCCTTGTGCTTCCACAGAGCTACAAGGTTGAACTGTTTTAGTTATATTGTTTCAAATGTTCCTAATTGTGGCTATTTTCTTTCTTTATTTGTTGTTCGTTCACATTAGCTTGGTTATATTGCTTGGAACGGGCAAGTTGTTGAATAAGTGTTGCAACCACACCTGTGCGATAAATAGTATCGGTAATTGTTAAGTATGTGAAGATGCAGCTAATGCATTGGAGAAATGCCGCAGGCCTCCATTGATACATTTTCGAATGACAGCTTTCAGGTCATCAATTTGTGATGTATCACCACTTCTTTGGAATAGTCTGCAAAAGTTTTGGAAAGTGCTGGAGAAAATCTGCAAGGCAGTCTCTGAATACAATTGTGGCGTATTATTGTTTTGAACCTGTCTCTCCGACCACAGTAGAATTTGGCAAAAGAGTGCTAATCACAGTAAAACATATGAAGTAATTATTTATTTCAGGGTAATCCACCCAGTTTTTAGATAGTTGTTTCCCATGTGTATCCTGCAATGAGATAGTCAGGAAAATGGAAAGTTGTATTCAAATACAGACCGTAATTTTGCTTTCCTGGTTTATCTCAATGGCAGCATACTTTCCACCTCAGAAAGTGTAGCAACTAGTTACAGAACATGGGTCAGCTGGGTGGGCTTTTATTTTGATTTTTTTTATTGGTACGAGAACCTACTGGAGCTCTAGTGTCAGAATCCAACTCATGTGTATGCTGCATGGAGATTTCCAGGAAAGGAAAGTTATAGTATCTGAGAACAATTTCGCATTTGCAGGGAAATGCCAAAAAAGGCAGTGTGACAGAGTAATCTATGTTGTTTATCGTTGTTAAAATACTACTGTACTTTTTGTATTTTATTTTTAGGTTATTTCATTGGAAGATGATTTCACAATGCTGGGTTACCTATGCATCCCTAATTCACATAGCCTTTCGGAGTTTCTCATGTGAGTTTATAATGTGTAACTAGTATTATATACATCATTAGGATGGATTACAAGAAATCAAGGAGCTTATTCAAAGTGCACTAACCCATAGCATCCAATTATAATTAATCTTCCACTCACATTTCAATTTTTTTAGTGGAATTTAACTGGTTACTTTATTCACACATGACACACTGCTTTTTTTGCTACCTCATTAAAAAGGATGATTTACTGTAAACTATTTTAGTCATCCATCAGGCCAGTATATGTTTTAGGGCTATCTATTTCCATTAGAACAGCTTGCTTGACTTCTTGAAGGAGTAGGAGCTGTAGAAAAGTATAATTTGTGGCAAACAAAGTACATTAGAAAAAAAACACAACTTGTTGCATACAGCACAACACACTTATTGCATACAGTCTTTACTAAAAGATCTAAAGCAAGCGAAAACTATATTATTGTATTTAAAAGGTAAACCATTTTTATTTTATTTTGGGTGAAGTGGAGAGGGGTTGGACACTGTTCAATTTTTTTGTGGTGTGCATCCATGGCAATTAGATTCACCCCTCTATTTGCCCTGATAACCATTGTTACTGAGACAGAACGTGAGGGGAAATACACAATTTTCAAGTCCACAGAGCAAAAGTTGGGGCAATTTTCCAACAGACGACTTTGTTGATGACAGTTGCCTGAGATTGAAGTTCTCCTCACTTTGGTGGGATTTCCTCTCTTCAACAAAGGAAGTGAATGGAAATTTTACCAGTGTGGCACAGACGGCAAAAAATTACCTGACAGAGTTTCTATTCTAACCCTTCCTTACTCTATCCAAAACAAAACAAACAAAAAAAGGTTTTTGCAAGACATACACTTTAATTACTTAATAAGGTTGGTTGAAAAACACAGGTGACATGCAAAATGCAGGAACAAATAGCAAGCAATGGGATTGCTGCCAGTTGTGCTTAATATTTCATTTTTTGCAATAAAATATACATACAGTTTATTCCAGTTTTTGATCATACAAAAAAGACTAAATGGAGCAATACACATCAATAAGAAAAGCTTCTATTGGAAATATAAAAGGAGGTCAAAACTGTTGGTAGGCTGCCTTAGAAAAGAATGTTTGAAATTGATTCAAAATGCTCGACCAGTATAAATTGTGATTTTCTACAAAACTTACCACAAGAAATTACTTCTCTAGCATATTTATAACAAGGTGACCTTCATTATTCCAATTTGCTAGAGAAATCACTCTATATATATATATATACACATATATTGAGTGTTAGATCAGCAGCAGGTGTGTGTGACCCCCTGGATGGCTTCACACCACAGAAATTAGGCACCGCAAACAAGGATTGCTTCGGGTGAAACACACGTGCAGTTTATTTACAACGAGCTACAAGAAAAGTTGAGCAAAACAAACAAAACATGAAAATAAATCCTGGCCTGTTGGCCACTTACTATACACACGGTATGCCTCACTACCCACTAGGTGCAACCTTGTGCTGCCCCTAGTACCTATCTCCCTATTCCATCAACTGCCACACAGGCTGTGTCTCACCACATGCGATTTGTTTTCCCTTTTTTACACCACACAGGCCAGCAGGAAGCTCCCCCCAGTCTCTTCAGGCATGAAACTGGTTCCAGGGTGGAGCAATCCTCTGAGCAGTCTGGGAGTTCTTATAGAGGCCCTAATGAGCCAGCTTCCTTCAGCTGGGCTCATTAACTCTACCATTCCAGCCTCCCAGTACTCCCTCTAGTGGGAAAAAGATGCATACATCCTGAACCTGGGACACACATATATGCAATTCTGGATACACAGAGGCGATTTCACCTGCCTGCTGTCACTTCACCAGAATTATTTACCAGTACATACACCAGATTAAGTGACACTATACGGCTGCTTAAATGGCAGCCCTATGTATTGTGTTGCTGGAGTTAAATAGAGAGTGTTTCTGTCAGTGTAGTGCAAGCGCACACTGGCCATTCGGCATTGCGGTCATCGGAAGCCCGCCCCTCAGCAGGGCGGGCTTGCGATCATCACAAGTATGATCTGCCTGTCCAAGATAGGCAGATCGTACGTTTTTTTAATTACCTTACAACCATCGCAAGACAAAAGTCTTGCGATGGTTGTAAGTTGTGAGCCCAGCCTAATTAAGTTTTAGTGCTTTATACAGCCTTTAATGCTATATACAGTACTCTGTACTATATAGTATTTTATTTTCTATGCTGTATTTTTTTTGTTCGATTTCCTATCCCACATTCTCTAATAAAATGTTATAATAAGCCCCACATTATGTCTGAAAGGCCAACAAGGAGAGAGGCGTGTGACAGGTCAATATAATTAGAATTTTTAGAGCAGGGTCCAATCCTGCACTTGTCAAGAATAACTGAAGGGTTATGGTGTGAAGGCACCACCAACACTAAGGGCCAGTTCACACCATATGCAGTTGTGATGCAGTCCGTTTATTTGACTTTAAGGCCCAATTTTAAAGCCATGGGCAGCCCTGGGCCATGAGGACCCAGCAAACATCCGCCTGAGTACACGGGCGCGCTGAGATGGGGACACCACACACAGGTGGTTTTCTGCAGCCTCCCCCACCAGGAAACAGGCAGAGGAGGTGAAGGTAAGTTCTCTCATAGTTCTCCTTTAAAACATGAATAGAAAATCATGTAGATGGAAATTGTTGGTTGTAATTATTCCTGCACTGCTCTGCATATGCCACTTCAGAGTTAGGACCCAGCTAACCATAAAGAGTGCGTTCCAGAGCGTTCGGCTCTGGAACGCAACCTGGCCAGCTCACTTTGCTTTGGGGCGGGAGGGGGCGTGGCGGTGCATGGAAGTCAATGGCACCACAGCCACCCCTCCGTATTGCGATCGCCAGCACCTGAACGCGTGGCACACTAGTGTGATCTGCATAAAGTGCCTCATGGACTACTTTTTGCAGATCGCACTGGACCGGAACGCAGGCGCTAGTGTGCCACGCATTCGGGTGCTGGTGATCGCAGGGGGGCGTGGCTTCGGTGCCATTGACTACAATGCACCGCCACGCCCCCTCCTGCCCCCAAAAAAAGTGAGCTGCCTGGGTTGCATACCAGAGGCCGAACGCTCTGGAACACACTCTTTATGGTGTGACTGGGCCCTTAAAGGAGAACTATGAGGTGAGTGATTTCCACTCATCCTCATAGTTAGAGCCGATTTGTGACAAAGAAGCTGTCACAGGTCGGCTCTATCGATCGGGAAGTGAGCAGAAACATACAGCCGATCCGCTCACTTCTCGATCATTTCCCTGCAGAGGGTGGTGACTGTCAGTCCAATCGCCCACAGCGGAATGCGTGGCACAACGGTGCGATTGCTTGCACTATTTTTTGCGATCACATTACTCCGTGGGCATCGGTGTGGCATGCGATGCGGTGCAAGTGATCGCACCGCAGGTCGGGAAGTGTGGCTGCGGTGCCATTGACTTGAATGCACCACCACACACTCTTCAACCCCAGAACGCAGGGAGGCTGTAATTATGCAATCCACTGTGCTCCAGCAACAAACTGTGCTGGAACACACTGTATTTGGAGTGAACAAGCCCTTACACTCAGTTGAGGGCCCGTTCACGCTATCCAGTGCGTTCCCCACACAGTCCCATGGGTTGAACACACTGGATCATATAAACAAACGCTCCCTGCGTTCTGGGGTGGGAGGGGGTGTGGTGGTTCCATTCATGTCAATGGCACTGCAAACATGCCTCCCACCCACACTGGAACGTGTGGTACCACAATGCACTGGGGGGGTTTGTAAAAATGGGTGCAGCTGTGCATGGGAACCAATCAGCTTCTCTCCTCAGTTCAACATTTGAAAATGAGTGAGAGGTGCCGATTGGTTGCCATGCACGGCTGCTCCAGTTTGATAAATTTCCCTCACAGTGTTCTAGTGCAGTGCAATCACAAATAGTGCATGCCGTGTGGGACTTGTGGGAGGGGCTTGTATATGGGCGGAGCACAAGGGGGCCCCATGTGTTGTCAGTCCGCCCCTGACCTGTTGTAACTTTCATCCAATGTCTGCATAAGAGACACCAGAATTTATCCCAAAAATCTCTAATCTTGTTCCCAGTGTCCTAACATGTGGCCTCTTCATACAGGCTGCCTCCCCAAGTAGTTGTTTACAAGATTAGGGGAAACCAATTACCAGCAATTTAAATGCAATTGTTTTCTTTAGAAATTTCATTTTTGCTGCAGCAGGTTCTATACATTGTACAGAGGCGCCACTTTACAGGCAGTTTAAGGGGACCCCCCAGGCATGATATTTAAAGGAATTTTTCATTTTTATTGTTTCCCTTTAAGCAATGTTAACATCACTGCTCCTTTAAAAACTGTATTTTTTTTAAAGTTTTTTTTTAATTGATACATGTCCCCCAGGGCAGTACCCGGATCCCCATACACTTTTTATGGCCAGTAACTTGCATATAAGCCTTCAAAATGGGGACATTTGATTTTCTGAGTTCTGGTCCCATAGACTTGCATTGAGTTTTAAGTTCGAGTTAGAACTTTTTCCATGTTCAAAAGTTCGAATTAGAACCAAGCTCAGAAATGTTCAGCCCATCACTAGTCACCACATATTAACCCAACATTTGTGGAAAGCCCAAAACATTATAAACATTTTATCAGAGTTTAACTGAGGTTGATATAAGAGATTTTATATATCTATCAACAAATGCTGCCCTAATATCCAACATCAACAGGCAAGGAAGTTAAATGTTTCCCATAGGCTTACAGTTAGGAATAAAACATAATTAAGGTCCTAGCCCCTACCACTATATCCATTTTCTGGAGTTACACTTCAATTCACGCCATTTAAAAAAAAAAGGAAAAAAGACAATTTTCAAGTACAGGGAATATGATTCTCAGGTCATTTAGAACCGTCTACATCTTGTGCTTTTTTTTTAAATTTACCACACTTTTGATTAAATGAGAATTTGCCAGTTTGAAAACTTATCAGCATTACATTCTACAATTTATAATTGTGGTGAATGTTACTGATAAATGTGCAGTAAATTGAATTGCATTCAGTAAAGTTGAAGTCCTGTTTTATAACAATACAAAGTTAAATTTTCAATACGGAACTAATACATACTTCTTAATTTCTTTTTGTTAACTAGATGCACAAAATAACATTAACTGGGAGATTCAGCGCTTTGATGGCTGGTACAATAATCTTATTCAACACGAGAGATGCACTGCAGGTAAAGTAATGTTTAGATTTCATATCAAAGATTACTCATATAAATTGAATGAAACACAAGTGAAATTTTCCATGATTACAGCACAACATCCAATTTCCATATATCTGGGTATATGATAGAAAGATATCTTTATGTGATATTCTTTTGGGAGTCTAGGATGTTGAGGTAACACAAAAAGGGCACTGGCTTTGTGTATTGCAGTTAAAGTAATTTCTGTTTATAATTTAGTTTTTTTTATTAATTTAGGTTCTAGGTTGATGCACCTTATGCCACCGGCCTATTCTGATGGAGTCTATCAAGCTAGGCAAGAACCAAACCTACCCAACCCAAGAAAACTAAGCAATGTGGCTATGAAAGGAGAATCTGGTCAACCCTCTCAGAGGAACCGGACAGTTCTGGGGGTGTTCTTTGGTAGGGATGCATAGATGAAACATGTATATATGGGGTCGGCTTTACATGCCAAATATTAATGTATTATTTTACATACTTTTCTGAACTTCTTCCCAAGGTTCTAGTGTTGGTTAGTTTAAGGAGAGTAACTAGTTAAGCTTCTACCACTGAAACTGATGTCAGCTGGAGGATAACCAGCCAATCAGCAGTAGAATGTTAGAAAACTGTACAACAACTGTGTATATATGTGATATATATCCAGTCTAGGAGCATTAAAGCATTTATGTATTATTGGCAAACAGTAGCAGAGCTTTTAAACAAGCTTTAGCTGACCTCTGTGGCAGACGTCACAATGGAGAAACTCCCCTCTAATTTCACAACAGAGGGACTGAAATCCAAAATTCCAGCTCCTTATTTTCCCTGGCAGCAGGGACTTGCAGCCTGCCAGCCTTCTAATGTAAGCAAACACCAGGTACTGTAACCTGGTACAAACCGACTAAACTGCACAGACTTTGTTGTGATTTTTAAGGATGAATATACTCCACAGAACTTGCAGCTACAAAGCTCAGATGAAGCTTGTTTTAAAGCTCATTTAAAGCTGCTTGATAAGAATATGTAAATACATAAATATCCATTATCTGGTCACACGTGCATTGTAACTCAGGGCACGCAGCTAAATACACTGTACATGTATATATGAATACTATTCAACCTACTAAAAGATGTTTAATCCTGTGTAGCCAGTTTTGTGATTCAGTCACCTCAAAGATGGTGTAGTCAGGTCCTTGACCTCCACTGCAGAGGAGTTTATGTAAGTACACCCCCTAGCCCACTAATCGGACAGTCAAGGAGCAGAAACTCTCTCTTCTTATCACAATGCTCCCTGTCAGCACAATGCTAGTTCCCAGTGCTGGATATCGGTCGATTTTTGTATGTGATCGCGTTTTCGTCCGATATTCGTAAGGTTGATGGGCAATGTACAACTGCAAATACTGTACACTTGATCAACTTTTGACTAACCAGCAGGTTAGAAAACTTCTGTCCACCGTATGATTTTCGCAAGGTTGGTGGCGTTTCCGTATTTCAAAATTCGTACGATTTACACTGCACATGCACAGACGAAAATATGTGCGGTCGATTACCGCAATTCATCCAGGCGCTTTCTTTTAATTACCGCTGATCCAACCTTGAGATAATCGGGGAAGGATGGGGCTGCCGTACGAAAATCATACGACGGTTCGTTCATCGAACGAAAAGTTTTGTCCGATGATCGCAAGGTGTATGGGCAGCTTAACTCAGTCCAAATGTTGCAACATAGAGGATCAAGACAAATCTTGGTATGTACACTAATTGCATTGAAAGTCATTTTTTTTCAGTTTTAACCTTATCTGCCATAGTTTAATGATTCTTAGATACAATGCATTTCGCGTCTGTTTATGCTATGTGATTCAAATAATTTGTGTTACAATTAAGTTTCCAGACAATTATGAAAAAATGCATATTTTATTATAACATTTTAATATGCATGAAGTCTGTGACAACATGAAATTAATGTAATAGCATTAGATAATCAGCATCACCAATTGTTTGCTGAAGGTGTATCCACAACAAGATTGGTTTTCTTTGCATTTCTGTTAGTGAACATACTTTAATTGTTTTAGGGTGTGTTTTGAGTTGCCAAATGAGAAAACAATGATGCAACCGTGAAAAAATCTTTGGATGTCTTCAGTGCATGTGGAGGCATAGAATAAATACCAGGATTTGTGTTTAGTCAGCATGAAGTACAAAAGGAAAAATTGACACACATTTTTGCACAATTAAATAACACTCTAAACCAGCAAATTCTGGGAATACAAAATCAGTCGTTCTCTATGTTATGTTAAGAATAAAGCTACCCCTATACCATAGGATAATTATTATTGTCTGATTGTGGTCTGTCGTAGTCCACTAAATGTGTTTTTACTATTCAGTGCTGCATGAGGATGACACTATCTTTCCTCAGAAACTGTGGGTTATGTAACCTATCCTATGAACCCAACAAGGTTTAGATTACTTGTGTACTTATGTGTAGCATTGCCTTTCTTATCCTCATCTGCAAGGGCTGGCCTAATGCTGGTTCTAAGGCTATAGAGTTGAATGCATTTAGATCCACTCCTGGTGATATTATCAAAGACCAAATGGTTCCCACTAATCAACGTCATTAAAGAGTCCAGATGGAACACGTTTGTTTAATCAATGGTCAAAAAAAGCCATAACTATTTATTTATATAGAAAAATATAAATGTTGTATTAAACCCCCATGAGGCCCTTTTTGGGGGTTTAATAACACATTTATATTTTTCTATATAAATACAAAGGTTATGGCTTTTTTGACCATTGATTAAACAAACATGTGTTCCATCTGGACTCTTCAATAACGTTGATTAGTGGGAACCATTTGGTCTTAGATAGTTTGTCAGCAATGCAAGAGTCCATTTGGAAAACAGCAAATTATATGTGTGTACATATACATTGATTTGTCCTGCCTAAAGGATGTTTGAACTGTTGATCCACCAGCCTTGCATTTTGAACACGCGCATTTGTTTGCTTTTTTGTTCTCCTTGGGTTCCCCAGTTGTCTTTTTCCTGGTGATATTATCTCAGAACCAGCATGTGTCTGATTTTCACAGTCAATCAGCCAGTCAGCAAATGACACACCAGATTGCAGAGATATCTACAATTATTTATATGAAAACTGAAAACCACTGAAACATTCTTTAATTATGAGAGAAAACATTCAATAAAAGGCAACACCACTGTAGTTGTAAGATTGTAATGAAACCATTACAATCAGTACTATGATGTAACAAATAAGGCATTTATAATCATTATTGTTGTATATGACATGTAACGGCCACACGTTATGCTTGATTATTATTATTATTATTATTATATTATTTACAGTTGGGACAGTGTAATCCCATACACATAATTATTTAAATATTAAATATCTGTTTTACAGGTTATCATGTGATGTCTGAGATATTTAGCATAGAGGACTTGGGATGCCCAATTGAGTTTTTAGACATTAAAATACCAGCTGGAGATGATGTTTTTGATCCAGAAAACAAGGGCAATGTGGTTCTTCCATTTCGGAGAAGTAAATGGTGTAAACTTAGTGGAAGTAGTCCAAATAACCCACGATATCAGGTAACATATGAAGAGAGGACTCAGCACAATGTTACGTCTAAATATCTATCTACATAATTGCTTGTATATTGATCCAAAGATTTGTAAATACCCTGCAACCAGTAAAAAGTTAATTATTTTATAGCCTTATTTGCAGTAACTATCTGTGCAATGAGGGGTTGTTGACCCCTGCATGTTTTTTTTATTTTCAGATAAATTCAGTAACTGCATGGATTGATGGTAGCTCTATTTATGGTCACTCTCATTCCTGGTGTGATGCTTTGAGAAGTTTCTCTGGTGGAAGACTGGCATCTGGATCAGATCCGCTATTTCCAAGAGAAGCAGGTGACATGCTTATTATGTGGAGACGAGCTCGGTATACTGAAGAGAGCAAAGGATCTGGAACAATTTTGGGTAATGTGCTAATCAAGATCTATGTCTTATATAGCTTTAGATCAGAGATCCCAAACTCTTTCAGTTCATGATGAAATATGCTTACTGTGCTGTCACTGAAATACAAAAAAGACTTTTTGTTTTCTGAGAGAAATATATATGCTGCCTTTGCTGACTGCTCCTTATAGAAATGCTAGATGTCTCAGCATCTAGCAATGGTAGCCTCCATGTTTTTTTAGTATAGATTGTCTACAGACTAATAATCCTTGCCCGATAGTTGGTTACAGTCAACACGGGCAATGATTATATGTCTATCTGTACTTCCTGTGACCTACCCAGACCTCACCTGACAGGCCCTTCTGGAGAGAAGAATAAATTGTCAGGGTTGCATGTTGCTGGTAATCACCTCTGATAAGCTTTCACAAGGTGCTCCTGGACCTTCTTTATAGGCATTAACATGTACAGATCAGCCAATCCAAACCTGTAAGATTATGGAAATGTCTTCTTCATGCATGACCTTTTAGTTGTCAGATTATGCATGAATGGCCAACCTGCTATCTAATGTCTGTAGGCAGCTTTAGCAAGGAATCTGTTTAAGGATCCCATAAATTTAGTTGGATGTAATAATTAAATGTATGAAGTTTAATTTATGTATTTAGTCACATTGGGGATAAAGGCAGGGGTTATGAAAGTATTACTGTGCTTTTAGGTTATAAAGCAGTAATACTTAATCTCTAACTATGCAATTTAGTAAATAGAACATATGCAGGTGCACAGCTGAAGATGTGGGATGCTGGAAGTGTATTGGACTGCCCATTTTATTTGTGAGCCAATCCTCCAAACTTTTCCTCAACTTTAGCTTGATTCTGACATCAACCCACTTATCTTTTGAGTACCCTATAGGTTTTTTTAATACTTCCTGGGTTTAACTGCATGCACATACTGCTCACTTTGACTTCCCATAATATGCTATTATGTATGTCAACAAACAAGATAATGTCCAAAGCCCACATCTCACACCCAGAAACTGGTTATAAAATGGTTTTAGTATTTTATATCCCTATCCAGAGAAATAAAATAATATGCTAGCACCTTCCTACTTATTGCTAAGTTCCAGGTTGCCCTTTCCTAATCTCTTTATGCTGTTAAATAGGCAGATCAACCTGAAATAATCCTGCACAGGGTTGACCACTCTGAGTACTAAAGTACAGTAGAGCTCATATCTACTGTATATGTAAACAGCGACAAATGAAGTTTTTAACAGCGTTGTGCACTGCAATTTTTTCACAACCATTTAAGTAACATGCTCGATTCCCCACTATAATTTGGCAACACACAACAGCAAATAAATAAATAGTCAGCAGCACATTGCAGAATGCATCTAGAACATGTACTGATTACTAAATGGCATCCCTGCCTAGTACTAAACACATTTCTGTTGTCAACTGGCCATGAGTAGCAAATAGAAATTAAGGTTTGTCAAAACTCATTATGTGCAGGAAGTCTTTACATGATATTCTCCCTGAAATTCCCTCCCTGTTTATTTACATATTCCCTATATGATACACAATTTGTCAGATAATTCTTGTTCTATGTATATATATTATAATTGCTACATGATTAAACCAGTACTGGTATTGTAGAATTACATGCAGCAATAAAAACTCTTATTAAAGATTATTTTTTGCAATTTTCCCTTAGGCTAGATTCACATGTTTGTGTTCCTGTTTAAAATGATTTTCGTAGAAATCAATAAAAACACATCAAAATGCATCTTAACGTGCACATTAACATGTCATAACACACATAAACTCAACATGACATGTTGACATTCAGTTGATGTGTATTATGATGATTTTTGACATTTTGACTTCGCTCGTGTCAGAATAAAGAAAAAAAAGACACAGCGGGGTTTCTCTTCTTGGCGGCCGGGAGCGGGGGGCTCCCAGAGCGCCTGGGAGATTTTTTTTTTTACAGCAGCAGAGCTGCCGGACAATAGGGAAACTATTGGGCGGAGCTAGCTGTCACTGCTAGCTCCGCACAATCGTTTTCTATTAACTTTTTTCTACTTTTTTCACTCTTTTTCTGTTCTGCTCGGTGCCTCTGAGGGACCGAGCAGAACAGCCGAGCCAAATGCCGCTTGGCGGCATTCGGCTATTCTCTCACTGCTGTTCGGAATCTTTCAGAATAGCCCGAACAGCAGTGTGAAGCCTGCCGGAGGTTCGGCTCAGCCGATCCAGATGTTGGATCGGCTGAGTCGAACTCCTTCTGCACTTCCTGAGCATGTTCGGCTGATCCGAAGCCACACGAAGCAAGCCGATGTACGGCTGAAATCAGCCGTACCAGCCTGAAGTGAATAGCCGAACAGTGTTCGGCTCACTTCACTTCTGATCGGTCATTCACTCGGCTGCCCTCGGCAGCTTTGTGAATAGACCCCAATGTGTTGCAATACACCGTGTTAACACACGTCTCATGCATTTACATGCTTTTCATTGTACTTCCAATGATTTCAATGGAAACTGCATCTGGAAAAATGCACAGGTGGGAATTTAGCCTATACTTTCTCCTGACATATAGGGATGATTTACTAACCTAAACACACACACGCACCAGGTGCGTGTGCATTTTTACACAGCAAAACGTATTTATCAACCAAACACGAGCAACGTGTCACATTTCCACGCCGTTATGGCGCATTTTTATGTATTTACGTATGTGCACGTCATGTAGCATGCGCCATAGGCTACACGCCGCTCTAATAGCGGCATGCAAGTCTCTAAAAGCATATTTCCACTAATGCCATATATGGAAAAATCATGCACATGATGCATATATAATGCTGCTTCACAGTTTAGACAAAAAAGGTTAGCTCATGCATTTACATTCCTACATTCATCAACGCAAGCAACACAACGTAGAGCTAATTTACACAAATTGTACAGTTGATCAACTCCAGTAATTTAAAGATTACCGAAGCCAGTGGATCAGCATGAAAGCAAGATCACTGGTATGGTGGCTCTTATACTCATTAAGTCAATGTTTTTTTTTCTGCTTGTGGGCATCTTTTTTTTCCGTTATGAAGTACATTTTTAAGAAAGATAAGTTTAAAAAATAGCAAATGGATATCACTTAAACAAAAATTAAGCATGTTATACTACTAACATTTTTATTTAGGTTTCGGTAATGCCAGAGCTAATGAAAATCCCTTCCTTCAAGCTGAAAGCATAGTTTGGTTTCGATACCATAACTACTTAGCTAATGAATTTGCAAAAATCCATCCTGAGTGGTCAGACGAAGACTTGTTTCAGCATGCCAGGAAATGGGTAATCGCCACTTACCAGGTAAAAATAGTTTAAAGCTGTTATCTGGGCATAGCAAAAGAGAAAACAAATGAAGCAAATGCCCTATCATACTTGTTCATGGAACCACCAGCTCATTTTAAGTAAAATTTATCAGAAAATACTACCTACAGTAAATGTTGTAGTGGTAGCATTTACTGTTGAGGAGACTGGTCACCTGTGCACTGGGTGATCTGTTGCCTCAACACCTCCTGGTCATTCAGGATGCACCTTTGTCACATAGGGTGCCCTGTGCATTTGGGCGTACAATAACCAATACATCCAATGCATGTGGTGTGAGTAAGCCCTTAAATATGAGCTCCATCTAGTTGAAAACAGACCAGGGATGATGTAGCTGATTCTCTTATAGTAGCTATAACTGTTACATTTAGATTTTCTTCCTTTGATCTAACTTATATTTTGTTTTTCTTTAGAATATCTTAATGTATGAATGGCTGCCTATTTTTCTTCAGAAACAAGTACTGCCTTACCAGGGTAAGAATCTTAAAAAAATCATAGTCCTGTGTGGACAGCCTTTTGTTGCCTTCAAATAGGTGTGCATTTACATGCAGGTCTACAGGACTTCAGAATCCACATAAATGAGGTGAAAATCAATAGGAGTATACAGCCGTATGCCACCGTATGCTCACCCGAACTGCACATCCGTGCAGGTGCAGGTGTCCTCGGACGCAGACAGGATCCAGGATAAAGGTGCAATTTAGCACATTAGTATTTACACTTTACATTTCTTTTTCAATCTTACAATTATTGTGATTTACTAAATTATTGAAAAGGTTTATCTAAATGTTGGTGAAATCAGATTTAACTACAAAATAGCCAAGATGGGTCACAATGAAAATTACCTTTGGCAATAGTTGTTGGTTTGATTTAGAAATATTTAGTAGCATGGGGAAGTGCATTGTCACTTGTGTGCATGATGTTCAGTGTTAATAAGATGCATCTATTTCACCTGTACAAACATGAGATGCTACTTTGTTAAAAATTATATGTTCTGTTCTTTATAGGATATCGTCAACATGTGGACTCCAGCATAAGCAATGAATTTCAAGTTGTAGCTCAGTTCATATCATCCTTGGTCCCATCAGGTGTTTATGCCAGGTAAACTGTAAGATCATTACTAACATACAAACGAACCCTCCGGCTTTGCAAAGCCTTAATACAGAAGCTAATAGCATATACAGTACATATATCTATAGATACTGTATCTGTAGATATATCCGTAGATATATCTATACACTGTATATATACACACTATATTGCCAAAAGTATTGGGACACCGCTCCATTGGATTCAGGTGTTCGGTGAAATGTCCTTGCTACTAAATATTCCACGGTCAACTGTTAGTGGTATTATAACAAAGTGGAAGCAACTGGGAACAGCAGCAACTCAGCCACGAAGTGGTAGGCCATGTAAAATGACAGAGCGTGGTCAGTGCTTGCTGAAGCGGACCGTGCACAGAAGTCGTCAACTTTCTTTATAGTCAATAGCTACAGACCTCCAAACTTCATGTGGCCTTCAGATTGGCACAACAACAGTGCGTAGAGAGCTCCATGGAATGGGTTTCCATGGACAAGCAGCTGCATCCAAGCCTTACATCACCAAGTGCAATGCAAAGCGTCGGATGCAGTGGTGTAAAGCACGCCGCCACTGGACTCTAGAGAAGTGGAGATGTGTTCTCTGGAGTGACCAATCACGCTTCTCTGTCTGGCAATCCGATGGACGTGGCTGGGTTTGGCGGTTGCCAGGAGAACAATACTTGCCTGGCTGCATTGTGCCAAGTGTAAAGTTTGCTGGAGGGGGGATTATGGTTTGGGGTTGTTTTTCAAGGGTTGGGCTCGGCCCCTTAGTTCCAGTGAAGGGAACTCTTAAGGCATCAGCATATCAAGATATTTTGGACAATTTCATGCTCCCAACGTTGTGGGAACAGTTTGGGGATGGCTCACTCCTGTTCCAACATGACTGTGCACCAGTGCACCAAGCAAGGTCTATAAAGACATGGATGAGCGAGTTTGGGGTGGAGGAACTTGACTGGCCTGCACAGAGTCCTGACCTCAACCCGATAGCACACCTTTGGGATGAATTAGACCGGAGACTGCGAGCCAGGCCTGCTTGTCCAACATCAGTACCTGACCTCACAAATGCACTTCTGGAAGAATGGTCAAAGATTCCCATAAACACACTCCTAAACCTTGTGGACAGCCTTCCCAGAAGAGTTGAAGCTGTTATAGCTGCAAAGGGTGGGCCAACTCAATATTGAACACTACGGACTAAGACTGGGATGCCATTAAAGTTCATGTGCGTGTAAAGGCAGGCATCTCCAAACTTTTAGCAATTAAGTGTATGTGTGTGTATATGTGTGTGTTTTAGAAATATAGAGAGATTTAGAAATGGACATAATCAAATAAAGGAAGAATCCAGCTGCATTCCGTTCCACGCTGAATCAATTTATTGAACATTCATCAGTGACACTGAGTCCTGCCCGAGGTCCCCCTCCTCTGAAATGTTTCACTTAATCCTGGTCTTAGTTTTAGCTCTCTACGACTAAGATCAGGATTGGGTGAAACATATAAGAGGGGGAGGACCTCGGGCAGGACTCAGTGTCACTGATGAATGTTCAATAAATTGATTCAGCGTGGAATGAAGTGCAGCCGGATTCTTCCTTTACCATATACCTGTTTGGTTGAGGAAAGAACACACTCCTGCCATCACCTGGCTGTCCTTCCCCTGCTAAAGCAATGGAAGACTGATACTTTATTTCTATGTCTTGGAGATAATCAAGATAAAGATTTAGTTCTATGCGGAGTTGACTTTCTATCCAGTCTCCTATTTAAGGGAGAAAAGCTATGGTAACATTAAACTGTGGCTAAGCTTAATCTGCTAATAAATGCACTAAGTATGCAGCAGACAGAGAACTCCCACAGCTAATGGATTCCTAGTTCAGGTATTGAATGGCTGGCTTGATTTATGTGGTCAGACAATGCTGTTTCTGTTTCCTTTCTTGAAAACCTGAAAACTGTGGGGCACAACACAGTCTGCAGTTTCATAGATGCGGTCATTTCAATGCCAATTTTGTAGAGACAGAAGGTTTTGAAGCACGAGGTCTTGTAGCTTGTATTTATTTATGTGTGTATTTAAAAGATACATTTAAAATGGTGTTAGATGAGACAAGAGGGAAGCAAATTTCTTTAGCTTGCCTAGAGAAGATTTGCCCTGCAAAATCACTTTGATCCATTATTCTCAACTAGTTATTTTGTTACTATTTACATTTCAGACCAATTCGCTTCCACAGATAAGCAGTTTAATTATCACTGATTTTCTGTGTGGATTAACCTAGATGTTTTCATAGGACATAAACTAAGAGGTAAAGTTCTTAACTGACAGCAAAAACTGGCAACTCATAGCTTTTTAACAGTGATATCTTCTTTTAGCACCATCATTTTTACCATATGCACAATGCAAGGCCTGAGCCTATAAGAAGGTTGCATGGGGGCATGCTTATGGCTGCAGAGAGCGACTTTAAGAAAGCCTCTATTTGCTTAGCTCAAACTACAGACTAGGACAACGGCAAAAGTATGTTAAGGTTTTCAGACTGCAATGAATATAGTGACATGCGGAAGCTTACAGTTCATGCATAATGCCAGTATAGGTGTCTTTTGTGGCATTCTGCACTAGTACAAACATGCATACTGTTTTACACGGATTAAGTTGTTCCAATTTTAATTGTCTCAGGCAGTAGTTAGAATAGTCCCACCCTTACAGGAAATGCTTCAATAAATGATGTCATGTTTTCTGCGTACAAATTTCTAAGCATTTTGTTTTATTTTCTCCATAGAAATAAAACATGTAATTTTGTAAACGTCACCGACTCTAATGGTGGAATTTGGCCTGTTTACCGTTTGTGTGAGAGCTACACCGGAAGACAGGTAAAACAATTGTTTACATGCATAGTAATACAGACAAACTATAGAGTGCTTGCTATTGTCCTCAGACAACAGTATTTAAGTTCTGGGTAGATGCAACAGCTTCTTACCTAATTGAGGAACCCCTGTGATAATATCTCTGTTTTGGGGTTATTGGCTCTGCCCATGTTGTGAAGGTAACCCTTCGTCTTGCTACAATCTCTATCATGTAAAAGATTGTACATTAAAGATGTAACAGTTAGGGAAAAATTCCCTATTGCAGTGTATGGAAAGATGGACACAACTAGGTCTCGGACACAACTAGTCATCTCTTTCTAAAGAACATTTTGCTGCAGGCAATCTCTGAGATAAATGAGACCAGTGAGTGGAAAGAATAATCTACCCACAGAAAGCATTTCCAGACTTTTGTAGCCCTAGCTGAAAGGTTTTTTACAAACCATGTGACAATTTCACATCATTCATTGAATCTCTACAGTCATTCATTGAGATAACAGAAGTCAAACACATACAATGTGCCAGTACAGCATAGTCTAAAGAAAAACGCTTAATAGAAACAAATTTAACAAATGTAAATCTTTTGAATAAAAGAGTAGAACTATTTTCATTAAACATACATTAAATCCATGTGTTTATGCAATTTGATATTCTCAGCAAACAGTACAAGCAACTCCAAAGTGAAGAAACTCAAAGAACCCAAACAACATCCACTTTACCAAAGCCAGACTATTGTGTAGTGGAAGGCCAATGAGGAGGGGGTTGCAATAGTCAAGACGAGATATAACAAGGGAGTGGATGCGTAATTTTGCGGTTTCTTTGGTGAGGAAGGGGCGTATTTTGGAGATGTTACAAAGGTGAAGGCGGCAGGATTTGGATAGTGATTGGATGTGGGGAAGAAAGGTGAGGTCCGAGTCAAGGATGACACCTAGCACCTTGGCATGAGGGGAGGGCTGGATAGTTGTGTTAACGATCTCAAGGGAAAAGACGGGAGAAGGTGCACGGGCAGGAGGAAATATCAAGAGCTCAGTTTTTGAGAGATTGAGTTTTAAGAAGTGTTGCGACATCCAGATGAATATGTCGGATAGTAGATTAGTGACACGAGAGGACACTGAGGGGGTGAGTTGTGGAGTAGAAAAATAGATTTGAGTGTCATCGGCATAGAGATGATATTGGAAGCCATGTGAGGTGATCAGCTGACCCAGGGAGGAGGTGTAGATAGAGAAGAGAAGCGGTCTAAGGACAGAGCATTGTGGGACCCCTACAGAAAGAGGAACAGTGGGGGCCGGTATATAACAGCAATCCTCAGCGAAATTGGAGAGAATAGGCGAATACAGTGGGTTTCAAATGAGGAGAGGGATAGAGAGGGAGGCAAAGGGAGAATTTGAAAAGTGCATTGTGGGGATAGAAGGATACCCACTCCACCTCCTTTCCGTCCATTGGGTCTGTGTGAGTGCGTCCAATGTAGGCCAGTACATGTTGGATTCTTTGGGATCGATTTACTAAAGGCTTCCCTGTTCAAGGGAATTTGCACTTTGCAAAGGAAGTTTACTCTTAGCTTAGTGAATGTGTAGAAAATTCACTTTGCGAAGAATAACTTTGCAAAGCACCGGCCCTGTTAATGCCCATAGTCCAGGCACAGGTGCATTTCAATATCTACCAGAAGGACTATCTGCATGGAGTATGCATGCTCTCCCAGTGTTTGCAGAGATTTTCTGCATGTTTCCAATCTACTGGTAGACTACATATCAATCTGGCCCTACTGTGTGTATGTGCTTGTATCATTGTAGCATGAACACAAGAATGTAGTCTCTTTTGCAGAATGGTTCTAAGTACCCTGTGTACTTAGTAGTGGTAATAAATCTAAAGTATTAATTTTGAAATATACAATTTGTGGCTATTGAGGACCCACCCAGCCTCTGTAGTAAGAGCAACCAACAAAGGACTCTGAGACAATTTTATTTATTAAAACCCTATGCATTTTATGTTGACTCATCTATAACCTTCAATATAGAAGCCTCTGGAGCTTACAAATGAAATGTAGACCGCTTACCGTTGCAATGGTTTATGGGTGTTTTTATACATACTGAATCCTGATATAAATGCATGCTATAGTATAAGAGGTAAGGAATTTTGTTCAGTTTTTTTTTTTTTAGATTTTATTGTGTCCATGTTTATCATTATCACAGAGTCAAAACATGCCAACACCCCAAGATGTTGAAGCATTGCTTTTTGGAATGGCTTCACAAATTGCTGAAAATGAAGATAGTGTTGTTGTTGAAGATTTAAGAGGTATAGGACTATTATTATTTTTATCTTAGTATTTATAGTGCTGGATGTAACCACATACACCAATGAGTACTTCTTGGGAGGACATGATGCAGTTCATTGATTGGTTGACAATATCAGGCCCACTTTGTTTACCATGTTTCCACATGAATTGCTTAGTGAAGCTGTTTACTGCTGACACATGAGTTTTTTTTTACTTTACACATACTAATGTTATTTTAGGGGCTGATCACAGTCCAGGTTTAATGACCAGCAATGCTGAGCTCATTGTGTACAGTGGCCATCTTTTGGGGAAGTTTTATTTGTTCAATCTGCAGTTGGGGGTCCCAAGGTCTTATGCACTAGATTATCAACCAAGTGGTGGAATCTTTCCCCATTAGGGGATGGCAAATATTACAAAATGAGGTCCCAGCAAAGTAGGTCTGTGTGCCTCTAAGTGTATAAGTAGTGAACCTATACTGGAGGAGAGGCATAAGTTGGGTTCCTTACATATAATTATAAAGAATATTTACCCTAGACCAGGGGTCAGCAACCTTAAACACTCAAAGAGCCATTTGGACCCCTTTCCCACAGAAAATAAAACACCGGGAGCCACAAAATCCTTTTGACATCTAAAATTAAGATAACACTACATATATCGTTTTTTACCTTTATACTATGTATAGCATGTATATAGGTATATGTGGGCTTAGTAACGCACTGGACTCTGGGCTTAGTAACGCACTGGACTCTGGGCTTAGTAACGCACTGGACCCTGGGCTTACCTGAGACCCCGCAGAGCCCACCTGAGAGAGTGACCCTGCAGAGCACACCATAGACTCTGCACAGCCCATCTGATACTATCTATGGTGGGCTCTGCAGGGCCTCAGGTGGGCTGGTCCCCGGGGTCCCTTTCCCTGTACCTCCTCCCAACTCCTCTTACCTGCTGCTGCTGGGGCCTGGCCTCCTCCACCCCCTCCCCTGTCACCTCTGCCATGCCGCCCCTGGTACAGCTGATACAAATGTAAGAGGCCCACAGGCTGCCCAGACCCCTCACATGGGTACCGACCGTACCCCCCTGATGGCAGTGTTCTATAAGTTTGTGACTAAGTTACAATGTGTGACCAGTGATGTGGTCACACATTTCAATGTAATCCCACCCAGTTTTTGGGCAGTGGAATGTGTGACCGCCAATAGGTCAAGCATTCCAACGCTTTCTCAGCTGTTCCAGGACAGATCGGCATCGCAAATCGTATGTGCAGGAGAACTGATCTGCCCTGGAACAGCTGAGAAAGCGTTGGAATGCTTGACCCATTGGTGGTCACACATTCCACCGCCAAAAAACGTGGCGGGATTACATTACATTACACATTCCAACCTAGTCACAAACATGATAGAACAGCGGCCCTGTCTAATATTCTCCATTATAATCCACTTCTCTAATTAAATGAAATAACAGCACACTGTGTGCAGTTATAGCCATACCGAGGCCCTGGCGGTAGTTCCGCCCCTGGACAGGGAGCCACAGCATAGGGAAGAAAGAGCCCCATGCGGCTCCGGAGCCACGGGTTGCTGACGCCTGCCCTAGACTCTACTCATAAAAACTTCTAGAACCCCCTAAACCTGCTATCTGCCAAACCACCACAATTACAGCAGCACACCACATTATGTCTAAACTTGTCTGAAATTGTATTAAATATAACTACAATAAACTACTGTTGACTCGACATGTTTCATATTCTGTACCAATAAGACATGCATATCTTACCTTTCCTGATGAAAACGAATACATTCTTGTAAAAGAACAAATTTTTCACAAATTCAGAGCTAAAAACAATGTTGTTATGAGTGCAGATCTTACATATCTTAAACATTATAGCTTGCCACTAGTTTTAAGTTGTATAAGTAATTAGTGAATGGGTTCAGCAAGGTATAGAAATGTATTTCACAGGCAAAAAAGTGTTTGTTAGTGTCATATGTAATGCAAAACAGGAGTTGGAGTACACTTTATATAATTGTCTTTTTGTATTTGTTCAATGTTTTAGGTTTTCATAAATCGCAGCCAAGTGTATTCTCAACATCAGCTTAGGTTTTGAGAGATGTTTTATGTTATACCTTGGCCTTTTCACTGGCAAACATCTGGAGGAACTGGAAATTGTAAAACAAAGATGTAGCTAAAGTCCGATTATAAAAGATCCACTTGCTATGTAGAAAAGGCATCTCTAGGTGTCTGAAAATCTTTTTAGATTTTTCGTAGCATATCACATTCATTATATTACTTCCTTACGTTGGTTCTTTCATCACCAGGGTGCAGATTATTTCCTCATTGCCTCCTGTGATGTTAAAAAGTGAAAGTTCAATTTCGACTCACTAGTTGCCTGTAATTCAGCCAGGGAATTAAATATTTGCCCAGTGATACAAGTAATGATATCCGCTCCACTATTTATTTGGTGATTTTTTTTTTCTTCAAGTGTACACTTATAATCATATCATAGACCATTATTCTGGTGGGAGAAGAAAGGTGACTGCAGAAGATATTACACCAAACACATTTTGGGGTGATACAATAAATACAATCTTTTTTTATTGCTACACATTGCAAATGTGATCTTTAACAATTGTTTTGCATAACAGACTACTGGTATGGATCTTTCAAATATTCCCGGACTGATTACATATCCCACAGCATTCAGAGAGGCCGGGACTTTGGGCTTTGCTGTTATAACCATGGAAGAGAATACTTTGGACTGACACCTGTTACAAGTTGGCAGGAGATTAATCCAAAACTGTATCAGATTAACAGACAGGTTGGTATATGCTGAATTAGGCCTATAAATCTGTATCCACCGATAAAACTTGATTCTTCATAATAATGCTTATGCACATAAAAGAATTAAGCTAAGTGCCCACATTAGAGATCACATGGTCCAGCTATCACATGGTCTAGTTATGCATTTGGAAGGAAAGTGTTTACTGTGATCTGTACATTTTGTAAGGGGGATACAGCAATAATATTTTTCATTTTTGTGTGATTTCTCACATTTCTCATGTAGTTATCTTAATTGCTGTTGCTGTATTTTAGCAGCAAAATTTTGGCAGTTGTACAATTATTAATTTAGTGACATTCCATTTTTATTTTTGAGTAACAAAAGCTGTATCTCATCTGTTAAACTAGATCCAAGTATTTTGCAGGATGTCTGTGTAATATGGACCTCACTTGCATGTTACACCAAAACTGATTTTTATCCCAAAGCCACAGATTTGGGATCACACGGACTCTTTTCATGCCTAAAGTCCTGCTAGACAAGAGTATCTTTATGCTGTTCTGCTAAAATATCCTACAGTTCTGATAGAATCAGTGTTTCTCAATGATACAGCAATTATTGGCTCAGTCAATAACTTTTACCAAGACATTTAATTAAACTACGGCTATAAAAAGATCTCTTCTGACACTGCCCATATCCTACTACAGCTCATCTAATTGGTTGTTAATGGACAGAGCTATTATTTACAATGGCTACTAAATAATTTACACCATAAAGCAGAGTTAAAGCAAAACTCCACTTTGCCCATGTTGGGAAAACACCCGGTTCACTTTAATGGCAGCCCCACCAGTTGCTTATATCTAATCAATGAATATCTGAACCAAGCCCGGATGTCTATGCACCACATACCCAAGACAACTACTTAAGTTTAACCAATAATAAAAATTGTACATGGGACTGTTAAGCTGTTGCAATGGTGTAGTCATATTTAACATATCTTTTTTTTTTTTTTTATGAAAGTACAATTTTATTTTCTTTAACCACAATATTAATAATCAACAAATCACAAGTAAATACTATTTAGGTACATCAATCCACAATACCTGGTCACTCATCTAAGAATACAACTCAGTTAGTACCACAGATGACATAATCAACATATACAATAAAATACCACTCTTCCATTTCATCAATGTGTTTTCCACCATATGAATGGATAACCATCTGATTGGTATATTCATTTATACAAATGTTAGATTGGTAAATGGATTGGTCACTCATTTAATGATTCTCCAAGTGTTTTACGGTCACGGATAACTGCTTCAGGAAAAGTAAATGTATTTAAAAAAATTATCAAAATTAAAAATACAGATCAACTCAGTGGTACCTGAGCTTTGCCTCTCTCAAGAAAGTACCTCAAGAGGAGAAACATGGGACCATAATCAGGTGGCCCATATGACCGCAGAATTTGAGAGATATTTCCTCCATAATTCAACATCATTGGGTTTACATCAATGAAATGGACCCACAGTTTGGATAAACCTATTGTTGTTAGCTCTGATAATCATGAGACTTGTCTTAAGGTGCCCACACAGCTTGCGATTTTTGTACAATAATCGCAGGAAATCCCGCGATCGTACGATAATCGCAAGGTATGTGGAAGGCGTGCGACCGTTTCTACTGTACGGTCGCACGACTTTTGTCTTATGAACATGTACGAAAACCAGACGGGAATTGTACGATTTTCGGCTGGTTTGTGGCATGCTCGTAAGACAATTGCCGCACGGGCCAGTGTGCGCAAGAGCACACTGCCCGTTCATCATTGCGGTCATCGGAAGCCCGCCCCTCAGGGGGGCGGGCTTGCGATGATCGTAAGTACGATCTGCCTGTCCAAGATGGGCAGATCGTACGTTTTTTAAATTACTTTACAACCATCGCAAGACAAAAGTCTTGCAATGGTTGTAAGGTCTATGGGCACCTTTAGACACTATATCAAAGTACTCCCTTGGAACTGGATAATTTCTCCTTTCAGAATGCAATATGTTGAGCTGTCATCTCCCTCAAGGTGCAGTCAAATAAGATTGCCCCCTCCCCCTAGTTAGGGATACATCACCACAGCAAACCTAACCTAGTTTTTTACATCTACCTTCCTATTGCTCTCCTGTCACTCTGTTTGGCCACTGCCTGGGAATAAAGAGCATTCCCTGTGTGAAATAAAAATCATGATTTTTTTTTATCTCTGAAAGAAAGATGTAAAGATGGGCCTAGAACTTTTCTATGGTTCCTAGCGAAATGACACTACCTACGAGGGCAGTACCAAAAAGAACAATCTTCTGCTTGAACATATCTTACTGTGCATGGAGGTCTACTAAAAACTAAAGTTGATTTACTAGATATTGGAACTGTTCTTTTAAAAAAGTGAATGTTCACATAGCTTAGCAAATAAGGTGACACTGTGTTCAAATGAAATGTGAAAAAATTATTTTTGTTTGCATATAATTGTAGGATTGAAGTGAACACAACTTCACCTTATTCCCGTCACCCTGTCACATGTGCATCCAGTTGTTTATAGTACAATTGTTACTATAAACAGCCAACACCATGTCACATATGCTTCCAGCTTATGTTATGCTAATTGCACAGGGATGATTAAAAGTATTACTGTCAGGGAACCCACCCTAAAAAAGATATCCAGTTACAATAATATAATGTGCCGAGCTTAAATTAAATATGCATCAAAACATAAACATAAACAACAATGTGCCAAAGTTCCACAGGAGTGAAAATTCAATAGTGATAATAATTATAATTCTGTACAGTTTCAAAGAGAATCTGCTCCCATAGAAAGACTAGGCACACAATTAATTTCCTCACATTAATAAACAATGCTTTTACATATTTAACCCTTTGTTAGGACAGACAGGGTTCAAATCTACTTTAGAACTGATATGCCAGCACACTACAGAAATTATGGTAAACAAACACTATAGGGTCTATTCACAAAAGGGTGAAGAGTTTGGAGAAGTCAGGAGAAGTGAACAATCTAGGCCAAAATAGCTGATTTGGAACAAATTCTCCAATTCAGCTCACTTTCTAGTTCAGCTATGTTGTCCTAGATTGTTCACTTCTCCTGCCTTCTCAAAACTATTCACCCTTTTGTGAATAGACCCCTGAATATCTCCTGCCAACCCAATATCTTCAGCTGCAAAGCACTAATCTTTAAGTAAAAACTTAAAAAGTGAATCAAATATGAAACAAAATGGGCTATAGTGTCATATATGGTAAATATATGGTAAATATTAACTCC